CACCGGAACCGCGTGGGAGGAACAAGAGGATGACACTGGCACCGCCCTGAGGAATTCACACTGTTGTGGCTGGGGGACCTTTGGAACTGGGGGTTCAGTCTTGGGAGATTTTTTCTCGAGGGTTTAGCTAATAAACATAGCTGGACTGAATTTGCATGGTCTCTTGGAGTTCCTTGGGCTAGGCCTGACATCTGCCCTCCAATCACCTCCAACCTTGGAATTCTAGGTATTATGACATCATAGAAGATCGGGTCTCATCAACTCTTGTGTCAGACTATCACAGCCGTCTTTCCCAGTGCGAAGAACTCTACTGCAAGTTCCAGGTTCTAAGGAACAGCCTCTCGGCCTGTGATTCCGACTCTGAGAAAGACAATATCTCTGTGGTGGAAGGGATGAAACTTTATGACCAGATAGAGCACCTGAAGCAGAAGTTGAAAATGATTGAGAATCTTCTATTCAGGTGAAGCAAATATTTAGATTTTTAAATCTCTGAAACAAAGTATTATGTTGCTGGCAGAATCTAATGCAAAGAGGTCTCCCCCGCCCCCAGTTTAAATCCTTTGGGGGAATAATCTAGTTTGCTTACCTTGGTCTCACGGCCAAAGCAGATGATATGTTAAATTAACTGCAATGCATGGATTTGCTTTTACTTCCGTTAAAAATAGCTGCCTCAGGAAAATAGGGGGAAATCAGAAGTGTGCAACCTGCGATTTTAAACGCTTTTATTGCAGTTCTTGGAGTTATCAGACTGCAGCCCAGATTTCATTCCCTCTTTTACTTTGAGGCAGGAAACACACCAGCTGTAGTGTAAGCCTTCCATAGGTATTTAAATATAAACTGCTACTATCCACCAACTGTCAGAAAGAGCACTCCCAGTCTTTCCCACTGTGCACCCTCTTTGTGTGCTCTGGGACTTTCAGCGCATTGAGCATAATTCCTGGTCACCAAAAGTCCGCATGGGACTTCTTCCCCACTTTCTCCCCATACTGATTTCCTAATAAAGGGTGAAGGAGACAAACTGGGGACATAGAATGTTTGTAAGACTGGTATTTTTTGGTGGGGGGGTTTAATGGATCCCTCCCTCTTCCTTGTTATTCCTTTGCACATTTTTGACAGCTTGACCAGCGTCGTATACCATACGTTAGTGTCTTATTGTTGAATCCGATTGGAACCAGATCTGATCCTCACATTCCCCTCTAACCAGCTGCTTTGGTTTTGCAGGTACGTCTTTGGTTATAAGAAGCACGCTGGCCTCAGAGAGAAAGGAGTCCGTTCCTCTGGTGTCACCGTCACCCACGTTGTCTGTGCTACAGTCAAATCGAGCTTCCTGCAATGTCTACTCAGGGACAAACTTTCTCCAGAGCGTTTCAATGAAGAAATTGAAATCCAGGTTTGCTTGTTCAACTATTGTTGGTTAGATTTGTATCTTCCCTTCCCTTTAGAGTTTCAAGGTCCCGGCCATGTAGCACTTCCTGTGTTCTTTTTATAACGGTTGTAAAGTTTATTTAAGATGGTTAATCAGTCAGGGATAGTGAACACAAATACAACCAAAACACCATAGAAAATGAGAAATGAGAGGAAAATAAAAAATAAATAAAAATAAAAATAGCTGAATCACTAAGGGGAGAGAAAAATGATTACATTAAGCTGTAAATACAGTGTAAAGCAGTGTTTCTCAACCTTGGCAACTTGAAGACGTGTGGACTTCAACTCCCAAAATTCCCCAGCCAGCTGGCTGGGGAATTCTGGGACTTGAAGTCCACACAACTTCAAGCTGCCAAGGTTGAAAAACACTGGTGTAAAGGAATTAATTGTGACTCACTTTTGGGCCCTAGCCCTGAAATTCAGTCATGACTTATTATTGTCATCTTAGATGTGCAGCAGGAACAGAGTTAGCAATCTGAACAGTTTTAAATACTTGGTAGCTACTTTGCTGTGCCAGAGAGAACCTGAGTAGGTACCTTCATAGCTGCTGAGCCAAATTTGGCTACGGGGCATTGTTCCCCAACAACTTTTGTAGGGTAGGTTGAGCTGAGAGTGGGTAACTGGCCCTAAGTAACAAATGAGTTTCCATGGCAGAGAGCGGATTTGAACTTGGATCTTCTCCATCCTGATCAGAGTAGACCGTATTGGCTCACGTTGATGTGGGAGATGTCTTATTTCGTCTCATAGCAGCTGTTGCGCGCACAGCTTCTTTTAACCTAGCAGACGGGGAGGTGAATTGGGAGATTTCAGAATTTTCCATACAATGTTTGGCGGTTTTCATTCTTGCTCTCTAAAGTTTGCGGTAATGCAGAACTACAAGATCTTCTGCACCCTTTCCTAAGTTTTGGGTGTGGACTCCAAACATCTCTGGCCAGCTGTAGTTTTATGCTGTTTTATGCTGTTTTATACTGCTTTATTGGTTGTAAGCTGCCCAGAGCTGTTTTTAAGATGGACAGCTATATAAATATTTTAAATAAATAAATAATTTTTTAGAAAACGGGGCAATGGTTGGATGAAATGAAATGAATGGGGGATATCTTCTCTGAGTTTGATTAACTTTCATCTCACCCTGAATCAAAGCTCATTTCTTGCTGCTCTTCCTTCCAGCCTTTTCTGCTTTTTGACATGCGTCTCCCTACCACGTTGCGCTCTCCAGCTTTCATTGTTCGGTGTGTTCTTTCTAGTTCCACAACGATCCACAGTCTGCTCTGAATGCTTGCTATGAAGGAGACCGAATCATAGTTTGTCCTGGTCATTACGTTGTTGAAGGAGTGTTGTCTATCTCCGACTCTATTGCACTAGAAGGTGAGTATTTCTGTTAAGAGTGGTCTATTTTTAACTTCTCTCTCTAAAAAAAATAAAAACAAAAAACAAAAAATTTTTTCATGGGTGGGGAAGTATCACAACACAGATATTCCACCATTTTTATTCCAAATGTGCATTATAACTACATCGGGTGTTCCATTTTCCCCTCTCATGCATTCCTCTCTACTGGGTGCCCTGTTTGAATTCCTAAATGATATTATTTTTGCCACTGTGATGCAATTATCCTGGGATGAGAGATTTTAGAGATTCTGAATGCAAACTGGGATAAAACCTAAGTATTGAGGCTGATTCTGTGCAGATGAAATTTCTTAACATTAGACTCCCTCGTTCCTATCCTTCCATATTCTTTTATTTAATTGGCAGCACCAATTGTCTATAATTAATTGTCTAGCATTTCTGAAGGTGCATCTCCTTGATGAGCACATGAAAGGTTGCTTAATTGCTTTTTTAAAATCCATATTTTCTTTCTTAAAAATGAATCCAAATCAGGGAACAATTTTAAGAAAATAAGAATAAATTAAAAAGCGAAGGTTTCAAATTTATTGTAAACTAAAGTAAACATTCAGTAAAAGTATTGGGGCCAGGAGGTTAAGTGAGCTCTGTTAATTGATTGGTTTCATTGTTGGTTATTCCTGTTGTAAAATGGGAATTATTTTTTTCAACCTTGGACATTTGTTACCTGAATTGTTGGTTTAATTTTAATTTTTGGTTTTACTTTTCATGCAGTGCTATGAGACGGGCAGCCATATAAATTATATAAACAAACAAAAACTTATAAAAATAATGTGCCAAATATCATTAATAGCCTAAAGTCTTCAATACAGGAGAATCCCAAATCAGATCAAGAAGTTCAGCCGTAACAGCTTAATCAGTGCTTGGGTGATTAGATGATCATAAGTTGATGCCAAAAAAGTACCAGGCTTGATGCAAACTTGAAGGAACAGGGAGAGTATTCTACAACCTTTTTTTTGAGGTTCTCACATAGCAAAAGGTTGGCTAGATCCTAGACCACGGAGAGCTTTGCAGTAACACTGTGCAGTGTTTTTGAATTAAAGGCAAAAAGCCTTCAGATCCTGGACATACAGGTAGTTCTTGTCTATCCTTAACCCAAATGTGGCCTTTTAGTGCAGCTACAGACTCCCTGGAAAAGACACAGCTGCTTTAAAGAGCTGCAGACAGAGGCTGCCCGTGCAGAGCATCCTCAACAAATCACGAAAGCACCAAAATGATGACATGCGTGCGGTGATGTCATCACACTGACACCACCGTTACTCACAAGTCATAATTTGCCCATGCTTCGGATGTCCCAAAACCTGTGGGCCCCAAAGCATGTTCTGTTGTTGAATCCAAAGGGTGTCCCCAGCTGTGATAAATACAGTGGTACCTCGGTTCACGAACTTAATTCGTTCCACGATTCTGGTTGCGAACCAAATCAAATTTCCCCGTAAGGTTCAATGTAAATAAGGTTAATCTGTTCTGAAG